TTACAATTGACCTAGAAGATTGCCTAAGTCTTAGTAAATCACCTTACCAACATAAATCATATTCAGTACACCTTTTAGAAGAAATAATAAATTAATAGTTAAGTGTTATTTTGATGGTGGTTGGCATTCAATTCAAGTATGCTAAAGGTTGAAGGTGGTACTCAGAAAAATCTAATTAAAATTGTGAAGGTTTTAGGAGATGTTAGGAAAAATTCATTCAGATTAGTGGATTACATTGGCTAGGGAGGTTGATAGTGAATCTATACACATGGGTTGTCAAGCCATTATAAATCATTGACGTTCAAGGGAGGGTGATGGTGGGTCTAGACATAGGGCATGGCAAACCACTATAAATCATTGTTTCCACCTTTTTTACATGCACTTTATTTTACACAATTTATGAGATGAACACTTGTTAATTGATTAATGTTGAATCAATGATTATTTAAATGTGATCAATTAGAAAAGTCACAAGAAAAGACTAGTTTGATTGTAAACCTTAGTGAGTATTTCAGGAGTTAAAAGTGCTTCCATAATCGCACTATAGTAAAAACCACATCCATCAAAACAATGCTCTTACAACTACTTGACACTATAATTGACATTAACAAGGCTATTAATTCAACGACTAACAAAGTGGTAAATGACGAATGACTGCATCAATGACCTTGATTCCCCATGTTTAATAAGTACACCCAGTTGAAAGAACAACCCATCTTTCACCTTTCTCACTTGCCTCTTTGTTTTGCACTACTAGCAGAGCATATGTAGCAAACATGGTAATAGCAACATGGTAACATAGAAAATATCCCTCATACAAGGCAACAAAATGGTAACAGTGAAAATATCCAATAATCACGGTTAACAGAAATTTAGTCAAGACAGTGCAAAGAAAGCATTTACCCTTTCACTCTATTTCATAGCTAAAAAGATGCCAAAGATTTTATTGACAATTAAACATAAAATCAGATAGCATTATTGCTGTGCACTGAATGAAAAGGCAGCCTAAACATTATTGCCATGCACAAACAAAGTCAGCAGGTGGTAGTTTACAACTTCGCTTTGTAGGACAATCTCGCTCTCAAATCCGCAGCCACAGCATCAATGAACTCTTCAGTGTTCAAATAATGTGCACTAGTAACCCTGCATGAAACACAGCCAATTACAATATACATAATTCAGATAAAAAGCAAACACATGGACAAAACACATTTTTGACACTACTTACTGGGGTCCATGGATTAGAAGTGCAAGATCCTTTGTCATTTTTCCCGATTCAACACTTGCAACACAGGCTGCTTCCAATTTTTTAGTAAAATCCAACAGTCTAGCATTGTCGTCTAAACTTGCCCTATTAAGATCAACATGGCTTATTTCAATCCAAGGTTGCAAGGCAAACTAAATTTAAAGTCTAGGAGGATCTAGAATAGCATAAACCAGCAGTAGCACTTAAAACCAAGCAATAACAATCTCACACCTGTGCGCAAGTCCTCTTGACCAAGCAAAAATAGATGCTATGCTATTTGTGCTAGTTTCACCTCCTTTCTGATGAACCCTATAATGGCGGGTGACTGTGCCATGGGCTGCCTCAGCTTCAATGGTCTTTCCATCTGGGCACACCTGGAGCCCATCCATATCCTCAAACACTCAATGAGGAAGCACATAAAAGAATGCATTTGAAGAGAAACACAAAAATTGACACAGCAGATATACCAGCACTGATGTCATCAAACCAAGAGAACCAAAACCTGTGACAATGGGAAATAAAAGTCTGAGGGAAATTAGGTAATTTGAACTTTGATGAGAAAAATAATCTGATCTATGGCATTGCCTCAGCTATGATGTTCCCAAAACAAAAAATTAAACATTCAATTCCACAAGCAGCATTAATATTCACAAATAACGAGAGCTTACTTGATAATCATTACCACAAAATTAACTAACCTTGTGCTAAAAGATCACTCTGAACATCTCCATCATTATTCTTACATGCCCACACATAATCCTTCACTCTTAAGAGCATAAGCAACCATGTCATCAATAAGACGATGTTCATACCTACCATCGCTAAGTCTTTCAGAAACAACTTCAATTGTAAAAACCAGCCAACAACATGCAGGATAATAGCTCACCATATCCCTGCAGCCTCAAACTTGGATTTCCATGACTCTTATAAACTTCTTGAAAAATGTCCTTGAATCTTTAGGAAAAAAAGAAAGAGAAAACAAGCTAACAACAAGAACAAAGAACTTACAATTTCCAACAGGTAAAAAGGAAAAAGATATTGATAAATTACACTGACATAAGCTTCTCCTTGAGTTTTCAAAACTACACCACCACCCCTTTTGGCTATGTTGTCAGTAACAGATTACCTCAATTACAGACTTCAGCATACTAAAAGTTCAAAATTCCGCTTTGCCTTATACAAGTTGTAGAAATATTATATTTCATAAATGCTAAATGCCCTTCTATGGAAATTTTGAATATGCCCTTGCTCATTTCAAGTTCTTCTAGAAATGTGGATGGCCCGTTAGCCCGCCCGGCCCAGCCCTATTTTTTTTAGGCTTGGAAAAGTTGTTTTAGCCCATAGGACCGGGTTGGACCAATATTTCCGGCCTTGGAATTTATATTTTCAACCTAGTCCGACCCGGCCCGCTATTAAATTAATTAATTAATTATATATACTCCCTCCATCCCAAAATAATAGTCCTTTTTGGGGAATCCAACTTTTTTGGTAGTACAATTATTGCACTTTAAAAATATTAATTTTTCAAAATTACCCTTTGATTTGATAGTATATTTTTTAAGAAATATCAATTGTTATAATTGTACATATTATTTTAGTCCTTGATTTTTTAAAAAGGACTAACATTTTTGGACAATGAAAAATGGAATAAGGGACTAATATTTTGGGACAGATGGAGTATTCAAATATGTATTTTTTGTTAAGATCTAGACTTTATCTTTATTGATTTCATTGAAATTCATATTTGTGGTGATGTATGATTGAATTTATTTAAGAAATCTTTCAATTTATACACAATTTTTTAATTTATAATGATATCAATATATTTATTTAATAAATATAATGTGTGATTGAATTTAATTATGAAATGTTTAATTTTTATTTTTATTTTTTTAACATATACTCCGATTGGTGGACTTGGGGTTTATAATTATTTTTTGAGTCGGACCAGGCTGGGCTTGGGCAAATGTAGAAGCCCGATGTTAGGGGCAAACCGGGCTTAAGCAGACACAAAATCTCTTATTATGTAATGCTGCCCCGGCCCGATGAATGCCCACTCCTTCCATACCCATGGAAGGGTTATGTCCAATTCCGTAATCGATTTCTATGATCCTAAACTTTTTCTACTAATTTGGTTATAAAATAACACATTGTTGGTACATGGATCCAACCACACAAGTCACCACCACATTATTGCTTCATCACCCTTTGACTTCTCAAGCAAGTCTCTAGCACAATGTTTACACATCCTAAGGAGACATGTGGCCCAATTGAGTGCCATCACCTAGACAGACCAGGTCTACACACTATCTCCAAAGACCTCAAACTACCCGTGTGCCCAAAACCTCGGAGCTCGGTTCACTTGGCTCGCTAGTAGCCCCAGAGACCAAGCTTCAATTCCAAAGCCTGAAGGCCTACCTCGCTCAAGACCACTAAAAGAATGCATTTGAAGAGAAACATAAAAATTGACAGCAGATATACCAGCACTGATGTCATCAAACCAAGAGAACCAAAACCTGTGACAATGGGAAACAAAAGTCTGAGGGAAATTCGGTAATCTGGAAGAAGTCGGAAAAAACTCAACGGCTAGTTCAAATAAATGCTATTGAGCAAATCTGGTAGTCCTCTAAATGAAAAATGTCGAAAAAGTGCTTAATACATCAGCAACACGCCCTGGAAAGGGAAAAACAGGGGCTGAATTGTCCTAGAAGAGCTGCCGAAGCATCTATGGCTAGGAAACACCCTGGTCGGCAGCCAACAAGACCCTGGTTGGCATTACAGGCCAAAGCTAATAATGCCGGGGGATAGTTTATGGTCGTGCCGGACCGTTGTAGTAATCGGAATCAATGTCGAAACAGTTTAAAGGAGTCATGCCTGATTGTTCTAGAGACTAATTGGAATCAATGTCGAGATAGTTTAATGGGGTCACGTTGGACCGATGTAGAGAACTAGATGTTGAACCAACAAGCGTGGCACATATATAACTTATGACGTGGTGTTGAACGATGACAATAGATGACTGAGTGCGCCAAGGGGCGGCTTATTAGATAGTGCGCTAGGGGGCAACTTTGGTGGTGCGCTAGAGGGGGCGGCTTAGGTGGTGTGCCAAGAGAGAGACTTGGGTTGTGCGCTAGAGGGAGCGGCATGGTATATCACCATGCTCACCATTATATAGGTATAATACCTCTTCTTCAAACTCAAATAGGTTTGAAGATAAAAACCTATTTGAGGTTGAAATAGAGAGACAAAGTGGAACAGAAACACACAAAAATATATTGCGAGTAAAAAAAATATGATGGAGATATTTGGGATATGAATAAACCAGTGGATAGAGGAAGAGATTATCACGAAGTGGTACTGAAAGAAAATATATGGCAGTGAAATGGGTTGAGGTTCGGCGGGCAGCCAAGGCAAGGCTACCGCTCGCCGGTGAAGCAAAATTATTGGGTACTTAACCTAACTCTGATATCAAAAAGAATGAAAAGAATTATTTGGCTTACCCATGAATGAGGTAGAGGCCATGTGTGTATAATAGATTATAAATAAGGAACCTATATAAATAAGGAAACAATATTAAATCAGTAATTGACACAATCACAGATTATATACATAATATTAAAAACAAAAAAGATTCAATGTACTTTAATTTCTATAATCAACACTAGTGACCCTTGACCCAGTCTTTTTTGCGGTTTGATCAACGGTCTGGTTTTCAAAACATTGTGTATGACATACTTCTATATTATTGTTACACATGCTTGAGGTATGAACAGTATAATGTTTATAAGTTCAATTGAGGTGTCCATAACACCAATTTAATTGGTCAAGTAATGAAATTTTTTTAAGTTGTCCCTGTTTCAATTGACAGCGAGATGCTGCTACTGCTCCAAATGTCGGCGATAGTGTACCTTATGTCATTATTAAAGCTGCAAAAGGTGCCAAGGTAATCTGTTTCATAGTTTTATCTTTTCATAACCACATTGGTGTTTTGTGTGCTTGGTGTATGAATCAAATTGATCATTTGATGATGACAATCAGGCTTATGAGAAGTCGGAGGATCCTATTTACGTGCTAGAAAATAGTATACCTATAGACCCTCAATACTACCTTGAAAATCAAATAAGCAAGGTTAGTTTAGTATCTGATACTCTGCATTTTATCTTTTACTTTGTTCAACTTGGTCTCATAAATAATATGCACCTGCAGCCACGTTTAAGAATTTTTGAGCCCATTTTGAAGAATGCCAGTAAGGAACTTCTTCAAGGAAGTCACACAAGATCTATCTCCATCTCAACTCCTTCAAACAGTGGCATAATGAAATTTGCTAAGAAGCAACTTAGTTGCATTGGCTGCAAGGCTCTAATCAGGTAGAGTTCAAATGCTATGCTGTTTCCATGTTTCTTACTTCAGTCCTTCCTTTGTTTTTCTATTTTTTTTTTTTTATACTCCTCACTACTGTTAGATTTTTTTTTTTAATTGAAAATTAGCTTCAACAGACAAAGACTGCAACTCTTCAGTGATTCCTTTAACTCAAATTAATGTCTAATTATTAGTGCCAACAAACTCTACAAATCTTATTGGAGAGTGAACATATATTGCATGTTCCGCTGTGGCCAAAAATAAAAAATAGAAACACCAATGTTTTCTGAAGTGCTCAAATAGGAATGACTTCCAGTTTAGAAATGCCACTAACATCTCTCTCTCTCAATTAAAAGACAAAAGATCTTGTATAGTTCCATACAATACTTTTTGAGGGTTAAAACTTAGGTTTAGTTCAGTGGTTCACCCAAAAAGAATTACTGTATGTGGCAGTGAGTAATATTATATTATGGAAGAAATGAAAGTCCATGCTCTCCTCTTTTGAGAATTTGCTGCATGTGAATGCATTTGTTTTTCTCTAATCATGAAAATTGCTGTTGTTTGGACCAGCAATTCTGATCGAACTCTCTGTTCACATTGCAAAGGAAGAGAAGCTGAACTCTATTGCAAAACTGTAGCAAATGGTATGCTAGAAATTGTACTCATTTGATATTACAATGTTAATTTGACTCTGAAGACGTGCTGGAATAACCAATAAACATGGATTGATTGCAGTGTCCGACTTAGAGAAGCTTTTTGGGAGGCTGTGGACGCAATGGACGCAATGCCAGGAGTGTCAAGGTTCTCTTCATCAGGATGTGTTGTGAACTAGGTTTTCCTTAAACTCAACTTTTGGTTTCGTACCTTTGGTTTTGGTCTTTCAGTTTGATGTCTCGAATGATGGCCGATTAATTGCCAATTAATTGCCTTGGCGGTTGAACTTATGACACTTGTTTCTTTCTATTCTTTGTGTTGTTTGTGTCTTGATCTTTCAATGGTATGTTTTTGTTCAGCCGGGACTGTCCGATATTTTACTGGAGGAAAAAGGCACAGAAAGACATGGCAGAAGCAAAGGTCCAATAGATCGGTGGAACTTCTAGTTAGCATTCTTTTTTTCCAATCTCCTGATTGGTAGCGTTGAAGAACCAGACATGATTCACGGATTTTGAGGATTTCTCATGGGCGTTCTACATAGCCAAGCCAAGTTTTTATGATAGAATTAGGTGATTTTCACTTGTGTGCAGAATTTTTTTGTTAGGCTTGCTTTCATGTCCAACCGTGTTTTGTATTACTATTGTATTGTATTGTATATTCTTTTTTATTTTGTTTTAAAAAAAGTGAATTAAAAATGAAGTATTGAATGTTGAATTTTTTTTTTTTTTAAGTTGAAAATTTGTTTGATAAAATTTTAAGTGTTGAATTAAAACAAATTTGATATATATATATATATATATTAGATGCAAAGCCCTAGAATTCACTAGGGGATTCCTTAATTCTACATAGAGAAATAAGTGAAAACAAATCATAAATAAAATATTTCACATGAGTACTCAGATTATATGCCCCACAACACAAGTAAATAAAATACAACACAACTATACATTTCTACTAAATATTTCACATGAGTGTTGGGCTCACATAGTGTGACACATCAATGCGAAACATTTGGTAAAATATTTAGTAAAATTTTTGAGATTTTTAATATTTTTCTTTCTAAAAAAATAAAATCACATTCAAAATTTTGACAGACCCATTTCTCCAATAAATATGGATGCTTCAAGGAACCAAGGTACGGGCCAATCTTGTTTAAAATTACCAAAACCAGGGGAAAAAAAAAGGGAGGGGGAGGATAGAGAAAAAATATGTTAGTTCATATTATTGACATTCCATAAGATTACAACAACATTCATGGCCCTAGATTGTGGGACTCAAGTATGTGAAAGAAGAGGGCTTTAAATACAACCCAGGCAGATACCAATCAGAAGCAGCAGCAGAATATCCAAATCAATTTACAAAATGAATTGGACAATTTTCCCACAGAAAAGTACACTAACAACAACATTAAAAACTCTCCACACCTTACCTTGAACACAACCACAAGTATGACTTGCGCAAAGAACAAACTAGAGAAGTAACCAAAATATTGCATAATTTTTGTCTCAGAATAACTGTAGAGGGCAGAGTGTTGCTTCACATACCCTTTCAAGAGTAGTGTCTAATGCGAGTTTTTATGGGCTCCCGGCACACAGGGCAAGATGAAATGGTCACACCACAATCCTTGCATGTCTAAAATGAGGCAAATTTTCAAAAAAGGGTAAGAAAAGGAACACTCTATTTAAATTAGTTGTGCAAAATCTAGACCAATGAGGAAAAGGAATGGTATTTTTGTTGTTCATCAAAATACGTAGCCTCCATATCATACCTAAAAAAATAAAAGAATTTCAATAACTCAACTTTGTGATAGACATCTCAACATTATTCTTGAAGAGATATAGCAAACATCTCTAGACTATCAGAACAAAATTTCAAATGATCATACATCAGATTACAACAAACTTCGAAATAAATGTAAAGGTGGCTCATACTATCTCACAAACAAAGAAAGCTACAAGGTCAAATTGAAATGAACCAAACATTACCAAAAAGACAAGGACGACAAACGTGAGATATATTGATAGATATATAGAGAAATATAGAGAAATACAAAGCTGAACTAAACCATTCAAATTTATGGTCGAGTTCCAATCTTACACAGAGAAAATCAACTATTCCTCCCACCAGCATCAACTCTACACCATAGGCCATCGATACTCCTCTCATTTTACAAATGACAAAAAATCAAAAGATATTCCAAAGGTGCCAGTACGTCATATCAGCAACTGCTTAAGGTGCTTAACAGAAAGCCAATTTAATGTTTCTTCCCCAATTCTTCGTCTCCCTGAATTCTTCAAATTTTGTTCTCTCTAAGTAAATCCCAACCATATAACAATAAAACAAACCACTCTTCAATTGAAGTTTCCATTTCATTCTAATGGGGTCTTTTACAAATAAGAATGCTACAAGTATTGGAGAGCTAAAATACTGCTCTTTTGTCCCCTCACATTTATTAACCACATTCATACAGTTTCGCGCATCGGGCATTGATGGAGAGTACAAGAAGCTCAAGAAAGAATAAATTTAAAGCAGAGGCGATAAAACCATGCTTCTATCCATGCCAATTTAAAGAATAAATTGGCATGTTTTCAAAGATAAACCGATAAAAACCAATTACTTGAAAAATTAAACCATGCTTCTATACAAATTACTTGAAAAAGATACTTTCACACAAATTCTACACATACAAGTTGAGAATTCAAACAACTAAATTTGGCACAATTAATATGTATATATGTAAATATATAGCACATATTATGTATGTAAAATTACTAGCCTTGTCAATTGTGGCGAAAATGGAAATGTTCTTGAAATCCCTCGACCTGAGCCGTGACGTCCCAATCCCAATCCCCAGCCGCCGAATGACATCCGGGTGGGGTGGATGCCGCCACAGCAGGAAGAAGCGATTTCCTCTCAACCAAACTGGCCCGGCGGCTTAAGGAGGAGGAGGAGGAGGAGGGGTTCTCACGGTACTGCTCATCATCATCAAAGTCATTTTCTCTGGTAATTTTTTCCCGGTGGTGGCGGCGTCGTTTTGCCAACTGCGAAAGCCCTTTCTTCGCGGTGGATCCCGAACCCACTTCCGCAAATTTCCTTAGCATGAACCCTTCGCTGTTGCTGGTGCACTCCCACTGTCCATTCTAGAGAGAGAGAAACTCTAACCAAAACTTTTCAAAGAGCGATAGTGGGTTCGATCGCAATGAGGAGAGAGGAGGATAAAAAGATGTAAGAGGAACATTTGTCGCCGTTGCAATTTTGTGAGAGAAATGTACCGTTGGGTGGGGGCCGTGGTGAGTATAGCCGTTGTTGGATGGTAACCAAACACGCCCCTAAAAATTCTAATAGCCAAACTCTTTTGCAATTGTAATTCTAATTAAAAAAATTCAAAATTCTTTTCTAAATGTATAACCAAACACACAATTCAAAATTTAATTTAAATTTTTTTTCAAAATTCATAACCAAACTCTTTTTAAAATTTTATTTAAAGAAAGATTTAAAAAAATATTTTTTTATTTCATGTTTTAAAATCATGATTTTATTTTTTAAAATATTTAATTTTTTTTAATTTCAAAAAAATTTGGATGGCCATATATATCTAAACCATAACAAATTATTTAGCCAAAACTTAAAAAAATAACAAAAAATATTTTTCAATAAAATAAAAAAATAAAAAATATATATTTTGATTAAAAAGTTTTTTAATTGAGTTTTGAGTTATATGTTTGGTTATGAGTTCTAAAAAGAGATTTTTATTGATAAGTCCAATTTAGAAGTGTTTTAACCCAAGAAGTTCATGAAGGAATTTTTTAACCCATTTAGTCCCATGTATGTATAGTTTTATTCCATAAAGTCCATTTTCTTGATTTACACTATTTTCTTGGACACTTATGCCCTTATATTTAATTTTGATACCCTTATAAATATTTTTTCAACGATTAGCAATTTAATGATGTGAACATTCATATTTTAAAATTCACATTTGTAGGAATGTAAATTGGCCCCGGAACCCGCACGCGAGCCAGGGCGGGCCCAACCCGTTGACAATGTGAATATTCACATTGACATATTAAAATTCACATTAATAGGAGTGTAAAATTGGCTCCCCTCCCGTGGCGGCGCGAAACCCGCCCGCGACCCATGGGCGGCCCGGGGCGGATCCGGTCCGGCCCGTTGACAATGTGAATATTCACATTGATATGTTAACATTCACATTGATAAGAGTATAAAATTAGGCCGCGGCCCATGGGCGACCAAAAGCCCGCCCGTAGCCCGGGGCGGGTCCGGCCCGGCCCATTGACAATGTGAATATTCACATTGACATGTTAACATTCACATTGATAGGAGTGTAAAATTAGCCTGCGCCTCGTAGCTTCCCGAAACCTGCCCACGGCCCGTAGGCGCAGGCCTGGCCTGTTGACAATGTGAATGTTCACATTGACATGTTAACATTCACATTGATAAGAGTATAAAACTAGACAGCGGCCCATGGGCGGCCAAAAGACCGCCCGCAGCCTGGGGCAGGCTCGGCCTGGCCCATTGACAATATGAATATTCACATTGACATGTTAACATTCACATTGATAAGAGTATAAATTGGACCCACGCCCAATGGACGGCCCAAAAGCCCACCCGCGGCTAGGGGCGGGCCCGGCCCGGGCCCGTTGACAATGTGAATATTCACATTGATATGTAACATTCACATTTGATAAGATGTTTAAAATTGGCCGCGCCCGTTGGGCGGCCGAAGCCGATCGTAGCCCGAGGCTGGGCCTGCCGCCCGTGACAATGTGAATATTCACATTGACATGTTAACATTGCACATTGATACGATTAAAATTAACCCCACTGCCCTGTGACTGCCCGAAACCCGTTCACGGCCCATGGGCGGCCCGAGAGGCCCGCCCGGCCTGTTGACAATGTGAATATTCACATTGATAAAATAGTATACAATTGGCCCGTGACCGTGGGCCAGCCCGAGGCCGACCTCGGCCAGGGCGGCCCGGCCCGTTGAGCAATGTGAATATTCACATTGACATTTAACATTCACATTGATAGGAGTGTAAAATTAGCCCGCAGCCCATGTGGGCGGCCGAAACCCGATCGCAGCCCGAGCGGGCCTTGGCCCGACCCTGACAATGTGAATATTCACATTGACATGTTAACATTAACTTTGATAGAGTGTAAAACTTGTTCGCTGCCCGAAGCTCGCCCGCGGCCCGATGGCTAGGCCGGACCCAAACCCGGGCCACCTCGGGCCGCCCACGGGCTCGGCTCGCCATGGGACGCGAGTCAATTTTACACTCTTATCAATGTGAATGTTAACATTCAATGTGAATATTCACATTGTCAACAGGCTGGGCCGGCCCCGCCTCGGGCCGCCCACGGC